ATAAAAAATACTGAATCTAATAATATTAGGAATAGATATAGATAATATACATGTACTTTTAGGAAAGTGATCACACTCTGAGATTTGCCTAAAGGACTGTAGAATAATGGCCACATTCTGACATTTCTGTCTAGACTATGACATCTGGCAACCCTAGACGGGAAATACATGCCAAGAAGATCTGAAGCGCCATACTTTCCCCACTACAAACTTAACTGGCTTAACAGGGAACTGAACATTTTGTAGACCAGTTCTGTGAAAAGGAGAGAAATTCTCAGGCTGTTGGCAGGTTTTGAAGGAGCCTGAGGCAATAGTCTCTGTGGAGCTGTTTCTTACCTTGGTGGGCTCTGATAACTGGCAGTGTCAGGAGGGTCTACATCAGTGGCGCCAGTCACAATCATTTTAATTTCCCACAATGCTTCACAGAGATGTTGCATCGGAAACATGGTAAGAAGCTAAATGCAGTCATTGGCACCTAGTGACAAAATTAGGGCAATAATTAAAGATAATACTAGAAGACTGCCAATGAAAACCAGGTGCTGTAGGCTATGTTTCAGAGAAAGAAACTGGCAAAACTACCACTGAGTTTTCCATAAAAACCTATCAAATTCACAGTTGCTTTAAGTCGACAGACAAGTTGAAGGCACATACATGCCAATGCGAGGGAATCATATGATCCTCTAGATGTAGTTGGCTACAAATCACAGTACTCCTCACACTGACAATGCTGATAGGAAGAGCAGATTGATAGGAAGAGCAGATCAACAAGACTTGAAAGGACACATGATTTCAGCTCCGTACTGAAGAGGGGGGCACAGAATTGTCCAAGCGTATGTCACTCAACAGCTCAAAATATACCTCAGCAGCTGAAGCATGTGAAAGGGCTTGCTGGACATTCCATGTGGCTTTAGTGTCTATGTGCATGCACTTTATACACATGCACGCTAGAGGCAATGCATGGGCTAGGAGAGGCCAATTAAATATTTTTAAAGGGGGAATTAATGCAGATAGGAGAGATAAACAATGTCCCGCTCCTTTCCTGGTCAGAGCAAAAATGCCATGTGCTAGTGCCAGGCCTGAGACAGTTCTTGTTAGTGACTCAATTTGACTGGAATTAAAATCTCACACAGCAGTCAGCTGCCTCTTGGTCACAGGGAAGCTGAAGGACAAAGAACCCAGAGCAATGGAAACAGACAGTAAGATGAACCTGGACAAAGTAATGCAGTTGGAATTTGTATTATATAGGCAGTGTAGACCCATGTGATGCATTTCATTGCAGTTAAAATGCATTATATTGGTCTACACTGATTATATAATGTGTATGTATATTGTAGTTATATTATATAAATAGATAGATAGATAGATAGATAGATAGATAGACAGATAGATGATAGATAGATAGATAGATAGATAGATAGATAGATAGATAGATAGATATGTGGAGCACCCAGTGGCACAGTGGGTTAAACCCCTCTGCCAACCGACAGGTCGCAGGTTCGAATCCAAGGAGAGTGCAAATGAGCTCCCTCTATCAGCTCAAACTACTCATGAGGGGACATGAGAGAAACCTCCCACAAAGATGATAAAACATCAAAAACATCCAGGCATCCCCTGGACAACGTCCTTGCAGACGGCCAATTCTCTCACACCAGAAGCGACTTGCAGTTTCTCAAGTTGCTCCTGACACAACAAAATATAGTTATATGTTATGTGTGTAGGTAAAGGTAAGTCAAAGTTTTCCGCTGACATTACGTCTAGTCGTTTTCGACTATGGGGATTGGTGCTCATCTCCATGTCTAACCTGAAGAGCAAGCATTGTCCGTAGACACCTCCAAGGTCATGTTAGCTGGGGCTAACAATGGGCTTTCACACTGCTCCCCGGATTCAAACCTGCGACCTTTCAATCAGCAAGTTTCGATCAGCAAGTTCAGTTATGTGTGTATGGCATTGTTGTTATATTCAGGCATTGAATGTTTGCCTTTTATGTCTGGAATCCGCCCTGAGTCCCTTTGGAGAGATAGAGTGGAATATAAATAAAGTTTTATTATTATTATTACTATTATTTGAAACACAATAAGAGTCCACAGCAGACAAGATCACTCTGCTGGCTGTTGTATTGGCTCACACGTTGGACACTTCCCAAGTGTCTAGGACTGTGTGATGTATCGGCGAATGATGCATGCAGATCCCAGTAAGGTGGCCTTCTGCAACTGGCAAATGGTAATCTTGTCAACGCCGATTGTGTTTAAGTGAAGGCCAAGGTCTTTAGGCACTGCATCCAGTGTGCCGATCACCACTGGGAACGCCTTGACTGGCTTGTGCCAGAGCCTTTGCAGTTTGATCTTTGAATCCTCATATCGTGTCTGCTTTTCCAGTTGTTTCTTGTTAATCCTGCTGTCACGTGGGATTGTGACATTGTGACCAGGGGCGGCCCGTCCATTACGCGAAGTAAGCAGTCGCAGAACACTTTTTTTTGCCAGGGGCGCAGAGGCGCCTCTGTAAATGCCCCTCAACCGCCACTTGAGGAGCGCCCCCTCAGCTCACAACAGCCCTAGCAGTCCGGGGGGAGCCTCGGCTTCCTTTCCTCACTGCCAGGCGATCCTCTGTCTCTCTCTCTCTCTCGGTCCCAATGTCTGAGGAGAAAGTCAGGAGAAGAGGTGACTTTTGGTGCACACGCCAGGGGTCTTCAGGCACGCCTCCGGACCCAAAGCGGGCCAGGCAAGGGAGCAAGCGCAGCAAGTGTAGTTACTGGGATGTATAGTTCACCTACAATCAAAGAGCATTCTGAACTCCACCAATGAAGAAATTGTACCAAATATGGCACACAGAACTCCCACGACAAACAGAAAATATATATCAATGATTGGTGGGGGGGGGGGAGCACGCCAAAATACTGTTTGCCTACCGTTGAAAATTACCTAGGGCCGCCTCTGATTGTGACATACTTTTTTTAAAACACAATTGTGAGGTCAGGCGTGTTATGCTCCAGAACTCTGTCTGTCTGAATTCGGAAGTCCCAGAGGAGTTTGATGTGTTCATTTTCTGTAACTTTTTCAGGCTTGTGATCCCACCAGTTTTTTGTGGCAGGCAGATGATATTTGTGGCACAGGTTCCAATGAATCATCTGAGCAATGGTGTTGTGCCTGTGCTTGTAGTCTGTCTGCGCGATCTTCATGCAGCAGCTGAGGATGTGATCTATTGTTTCATCTGCTTCCTTGCAGAGTCTACATTATTATTATTATTATTATTATTATTATTATTATTATTACTCACATTTGCATGTTTTTGAACTGCTAGGTTGGCAGAAGCTGGGGCTAACAGCGGGAGCTCACACTGCTCCCCGGGTTCAAATCTGCAACCTTTTGATTGGCAAGTTTTGATCAGCAAGTTTAGTTATGTATGTATGTCATTGAATTATTGTCAGTTTGGAAGCTGCTCTGAGTCGCCTTCGATGTGAGATAAAGCAGGGTAAAAATACAGTAAATAAATAATGCAGATTCAAACTACATCACATGGCAATGTAGATCCAGCTTCAGTCTCCTTCGGCAGCTGTGGAAACTCAAGCTCTCTCCAGTTTACATTCCTTATTTACATTCCCCACTGTTTCTTTCAGCAATCGGCAACCGTGCTGAGAAGCAGGGATTGGCATCATTCACCTGCCACCTGCCTCTTTGCTAAGATAAGGACCTGTCCATCTAGATCCAAAACATGGCTGTCCAGGATATTCTGCTCCCTGATGCAGAGCAACAAATGGCACCCACCTTAAGGGAGAAATTGTAGTTTTGCACCATCTCTCTTAATAATGTTTTGTTTTTTTTAGAAAAAAAATAAAATTTCTCATTCGAACCACAGGACTCAGCAACACATTTTTGGAAGAGCCCTAGTGCTGGTCCAAGAAATGGCTACAAAACTGTCTCCTAAAGGGATGGAGGAAATAATTTGCTAAACAACTAGCAAATTAAAGGAATTGTTTCACTGAACCCATGCTTCTTTTCATCAATATGGGAGAGCACTGGGAGGGATGGAAATTGTTCATCGCACTCGTACCCCTGCCCTCTGTAGCCCAAGGTCCCTCTGCTCATTCCTGTTTGGTTTTGTATTCTTCACAAATAGTTTTGGCCCAGTCCTCTTTTCTCCTTGTGAAGTCCTCTCAAAGATATCCTCAGAGTCCTATTTCTGGACCCTGCCCCACTGGATTTGACCACTTTGATCTCCTAACAGCTCTTCCCTATTTGTTTGTTTGTTTGTTTGTTTACCATATTTGTATACTGCCCTTCTTAGCCCAAAGGCGTCTCAGAGCGGTTCACAGTTGGCAACATTTGATGCCTCAACAAGTAAAACAATCATAAAATACTGTTAAAAACATTAGCATAAAATCTATATAAATAAAAATGTAATGTCCATTTGTGGGATTAACTCAAAAACCACTGGACGAATTGCCGCCAAATTTGGCCACAAGATACCTACTAACCCAAGGAGTGACCATCACTCAAAAAATGAGTTTGTCATTTGGGAGTTGTAGTTGCTGGGATATATAGTTAACCTACAATCAAAGAGCATTCTGAACTCCACTAATTATGGAAATGAACCAAACATGGCACCCAGGACTCCATGACTACCAGAAAATACTAGAAGGGTTTAGTGGGCGTTGATGTTGAGTTTGGGGGTTGTAGTACACCTACATCCAGAGAGCACTATGGACTCAATGATGGATCTGGACCAAACTTGGCACGAATATTCCATATGCCCATCTAGGAACACAGATGGAGCTTGGGGGAAATAGACCTTGACATTTGGGAGTTGTAGTTACTGGAATTTATAGTTCATCTACAATCAAAGAGCATTCTGAACCCCACGAATGATAGAATTGGGGCAAACTTCCCACACAGAACCCCTATGACCAATACAAAATACTTAAGGCCATCCAGTTCGACTCCTTTCAACAGGGCAAGAAAACATAATCAAATAGTTTACCCACAAGAATAAAGAAATTACGTCTATTAGAAACCAACACTTTCTCATTACTTTATTTTCCAGATCACGACTGGTCCACAACAACGCGTGGCAAGGGACGGCTAGTATAAAAATATAAAAACTGTACAAAATCATAATAACATTATCGTGAGCATCTCCTCGTTATTCAATTGCATCATCAGGTCATTCCATAATTTCGTATAATTGCGCTGGATTAGCAAAAGCCTGCTCCAAAAGCCAGGTTTTAACCTTTCTTCAAAAAGTCAGGAGGGAAGGGGGCGATCTTATATCCCTGGGAAGGGTGTTTCACAGTTGAGGGGCCACCACTGAGAAGGCCCTGTTTCTCATCCCCACCAAACGCATCTGTGAGGAAGGTGGGACCAAAAATAGGACCTCCCCAGAAGATATGTTTGGATAGATAAGCTGGTCCCAAACCATTTAGGGCTTTATACTCAACCCTCATCCTATGTCCTTGTCCTTGCATATTATGAAGCAGATACAAAAACGAGTGAGGATGTTCCCCACCTTCTAAGTTGTTCCTCCTTGCCTGTGAAACTAATCCAGATCTCTATCCCTCTCAGCTCCTGCTTGCCTCTGTTATTATGGTCCAGTGGATGGTGCTGAGTCTTGGGGAAGCCTTGGGAAAGGGCCCTTTTTTCTTGTAAACTCTCCCCTTGGATTGTGAAAATGTCACCTTTTCTCCTTCTTGGTATCTTATTATACACTTCAATGCCAGGTCTTACAGAGAGGAAATAAGAGCAACCACTGTCCTGACAATACCCCTTTATGGGGAAGGACCAAGGCCAAACCTGCCATTACGCCTCCAGCAGATTTTGGATTGAGAGAAAGGACAGGAAGTGGTTAGCTATTTAACTATTAGCAAGTTGTTACTGCCAGAAGAGGGAGGTATAAGATTTTCTGTGCTTGGTGCCCAAATATTTTGTTCTTCTCTGGTATTATGGACCTTGGCTATTTTTAGAAAGATATGATTTGTAAGGCTCAGTCTACACAGCTGTATAGAATCCAGACTATCGGCTTTGAGCTGGATTATATGACAGTAGACAAAGGGCCCTTCCAGACAGGTCCTATATCCCAGGATCTGATCCCGGGTTTTCTGTTTAAACCAAATTATCTGTCAGTGTGGACTCATATAATCCAGTTTAAAGCAAGAAACTTGGGATCAGATCTTGGAATATAAGGGTCTGGAAGGGCCCTAGGATAATCCAGTTCAAATCAGATAATGTGGATATTCTACAACTTTGGGAAGCTATCTCAAATCTAACAGTTCAAAGCAGATCATCTGGATTTTATATGGCAGTGCAGGGTTCCTTCTACACTGCCATATAACCCAGATTTTCAAAGCAGATCATCCACATTATCTGCGTTGAACTGGATTATCTGAGTCTACACTGCCATATAATCCAGTTCAAAGCAGATAATCTTGATTCTATATGACAGTGCAGGACCGCTTCTACACTGCCATAGAATCCAGATTGTCAAAACAGATAATCCACATTATGTACATTGAACTGGATTATCTGAGTCTACACTGCCATATAATCCAGTTCAAAGCAGATAATCAGGATTTTATATGGCAGTGTAGGGCCCCTTCTACACTGCCATAAAATCCAGATTTCCAAAGCAGATAATCCACATTATGTACATTGAACTGGATTATCTGAGTCTACACTGCCAGTGCAGAAGGGGGGCCCAGAAGTAAATCCAGTTCAAAGCAGATCATCTGGATGTTATATGGCAGGACCTTTTCTACACTGCCATATAACCCAGATTGTCAAAGCAGATCATCCACATTATCTGCGTTGAACTGTATTATCTGAGTCTACACTGCCATATAATCCAGTTCAAAGCAGATCATCTGGATTTTATATGACAGGGCCTTTCTACACTGTCATATAGCCCACACTGTCAAAGCAGATAATCCACATTATCTGTGTTGAACTGGATTATCTGAGTCTACACTACCATATAATCCAGTTCAAAGCAGATCATCTGGATTTCATATGACAGTGAAGGGCCCCTTCTACACTGCCAAATTGTCAAAGCAGATCATCCACATTATCTGCGTTGAACTGGATTACCTGAGTCTACACAGCCATATAATCCAGTTCAACGCAGATCATCCGGATTTTATATGGCAGTGCAGAAGGGGGGCCCAGAAGTAAAGAGTGGGAGTGGACTTCAGTGGTTAGATTGGAAGCAAGCTACCAATTATTAGGCTTCGGGCTTTTAACGCTTAAGCAATTAATTACTTAATTCGCTAAAGATCGTCGGCGCCAATCTAAATAAATATAGCTGGAGAATTTGCAGGGCTGGGGTGCTTTTCGACAAGTCTTCCAGAGGTTTGTAACTCAGGCTCCCCATTCAAAGGTCCTGTAGGAATTTTCCCTCTGGAAAAAAATAGAGACAACAATACAAAAGTTGGGTTACATATTATCCCGGAGGAGAGGGTTGAAAAGATCTTTTCCCCCCGCCCTTCCGCCTTAAAGCGAGAGCAGCGCCAGACAGAGAGAAGGCGAAAGAAGAGGGAGGTGGGCCCGCTTGGGGCAGAAAGGGCCGCTGTCCCTTTAAAGCGCGGAATCTCAGAGAGCAGAGTCCTGTTTGTGCGACCGAGGAGGAGGAGGAGCCCTGCCCGTGCGTGTGTGTGTGTGCGTGTGCGTCCATCCGTCCGTGTGGCGAAGAGGGAAAGCTGTTGGCACAGGCATTGTTCCCTGACGTCACTCAGCCAGTTCGGCTGCTGCTGCTCTCAAACTTGTCTTTGTTATTCAGAGCTCTCCATCTGACACGGCGGCGGCTGCCTGCAAAACCCGGAGCCAGGACTCCACTACACCTGGAGCTGGGCCGCGGAGGGGCTTCCTTTGGGAAAGCAACGAAATGGGAAGGGGGGGGGGGAAGAGAGACGCGGGACGCTCCTGCCTCTAAGGAGTCGCTGCCAGCTTTCCGGGCCAGACAAGGGAAGCCAGTGTGGACTCCCGCCCCTCCGCTCCCTTCTTCCCTGGCTTTTCAGGCATTCACAAAAGCAGAGGGGGAGCGCCAAAGACTGGCGCGGGTCTTCGGGATTTGGGCTCCTGATTCGGGCAGTTCCGGAGAGAGACGAGGTCAGCGCCGAGGCGGTTCGGCAGCGAGGCAATCAGGAGCCTTGACCCAAGTCAGCAGGCTCTGCCTTAAGCACTTGAGGCCATTGACATCAACGGGGCTCAGCTTGGCAGTGTCTTAGGATCTCTAGATAGATAGATAGATAGATAGATAGATGATAGATAGATAGATAGATAGATAGATAGATAGATAGATAGATAGATAATATAGACAGACAGACAGAAAGATAGAGAGACAGATAGAGAGATAGATAGAGAGATAGATAATATAGACAGACAGAAAGATAGAGAGACAGATAGAGAGATAGATAGAGAGATAGATAGATAGATAATATAGACAGACAGAAAGATAGAGAGACAGATAGAGAGATAGATAGATAGATAATATAGACAGACAGAAAGATAGAGAGACAGATAGTTAGTTAGATAGATGATAGATAGATAGATAGATAGATAGATAGATAGATAGATAGATAGATAGATAGATAGATAATATGGACAGATAATAATAGGCAAGGATGGTTTTGCCAGTTCCTTTCTCTGAAAGGCAGCCCATAGTGCTCCATCCAAGTCCTAAGCAGGACTGATGCTGTTCAACTTCCCAGACCAGACAGTATCTATTCTAGGACCTTTAGCCAATTTGGGAAGTGCTTTGGACCCCTTTCCATCCCGCTTCCACATCCCATGCCTTCTGCTTTCTCGAGTGGTGGGCTGGGGTCTAAAGTAACTTTTTATGGAGCTGGAGCTTGAAAAAGAGAGAGGCAAGGGATAGGCAGCGAAGGGGCCAACTGAGAAAGGCTGGTGTCTTTGGGAGGTGGGAAGGGTCGGAGAGACCCTTCCTGATCTCTCGCTGGCAAGCTGTGACTGACAAGTTCTCAGGGCTCTCTTTAAAGGGGAAGGAAAGGCACACCGGAAGTCGAAGGATCCCCTGCGGGAGGGAGGCAACATAGGGTCATATTGGAGTGACTCTTTTCTTCCCTCCCTCCTTCCTTCTTTCCCTTCCTCCTTCCTCCTTTCTTTCCTTCCCTCCTTCCTTCTTTCTTCCCCCCTTATCCCCTTCCTTCTTTCTTCCCTCCCTTATTCCCTTCCTTCTTTCTTTCTTCCCTCCCTTCGTTCCTCTTTTCTTCTTTCCCTCCTTTCTTTCCTTCCTTTTTCTTTCTTTCTTCCCTCCCTCCCTCCCTTCCCTCCCTTTATTTCCTTCCTTTCTGTTTTCTATCTTCCTTCCCTCCCTCTTTCCTTCCTTCCCTTCCTCCCCTCCTTCCTTCTTTCTTCCCTCCCTTCGTTCCTCCTT